CCATTTTGAATTCAGACTTTGTGTCTCATGCCAATGCCATAAACTTCATCAGAAACCATTCAGCCATTTCTCGAAACAATAATTTTTCTGACCCTGTCAAATAATTGGTTAATAGCTCTAATGTTTTTCATTTCAGAACACAAAATTTGATAGGGGCATGCTGGCTCTTTCACGTGCCATCAGAAATACTGAAATATCCTGATTTGCAGCATATACCACTCTAACTATTAGGGTATTGTATGAGACATGCTTTGCTAGTAGGTTTCATGGATTCTTGCTTATAGAAGTATAACAGCATTTTTCCTCTTCTAGTCATGCTGCCTAGAGAACAACTGAGTCAGAGTTTGTAGAGGGAAAATAATGTATGTCTAAACATTTATTCTTGGTTTCCTAGCCACCTAGTGTCAGGTAACACACTTCCCTTTCCTTCTGCTTCCTAACTTGCTTTCAGTGCTCCTCTTAGCTTTGTCCTCACCTCTTCCCAACTTTCCGTCCCAGGATTTTTCACTGTCTTTTTCTCCTTCTTGCACACTTTTCTCTGTAGTATTCATCCATTCTCCCCACTAGTCTGATTCCCCTCACACCCATCTGTGTGCCCAACAGACCTGGTCTCTTCCTTTTTAAAAATAATTTTTCCAATATAAGTATGAATGGGAGATTCCTTTCTTCTTAGGGTTTCCATTCCAAGCTTCAAGTCTCTCATTCTTCTTTGCCTTCTTTCTCATCCAGCCCCAGCTGTGTGAAAGATCTAATATTTTTTTCCAAGTTTTTTTATAGTACTGTGAAGGAGAGGTAGAGGAGGCAGAAACATTCAAATTATGTTAAATGAAGCACTAAAAAGCTAGAATTCTCTGCCTCTGTGACCTTAACTTTTACCCTTCTGTAGGCTATGATACAAGTCTGTCTTCAGGTACATAAATATATATCTTATTCCTTCATAAGTATATATTAAAACCAGCATTTATAGACTTTATTTTGGGTTTTTTGAAGGTTCCTTGTTTAAAAGAGGAAAAAGTGTAAAAAAAAAAAAACCAAAAAAAAACAAAAAACAAAAAAAAAACCACCACCCCACAACAAAAAAAACCAAAACAACAAAAAAACCAAACCCACACCAAAAAACCCCAACAAAACAAAAAACAAACCCCAGTATTGAAGCATTTGTTATGCTTGTGAAAGTAGCTGTTTAGAAGCAGTTAGCTGATACTATTCAAAACTAAAATGTCATTCAGAGTTTCTGGATTAATTGATACATCCTGCAGCAATTCATCACTTAAATGATGTACTCAGAATGATTGACAGTTGCTTTTCAGAAAGCCAAGGCACAAGAAGCAAGGTCTGTGCATGGACAATTGGTTGAAAGAGTGACAAAGAGGTGAAGAATGTACAGTCTTATAGCAGAGAAAGGTCACTGCTGTAATTCTACAGATTTGTACTGCTAATGATATGAGGGTTTTTTTAAGAACAGGGGCAGATTGTAAAGAATTACAAACTGATCTTCTAAGAGTGAATAACTGGAAAATAAAATGGTAGATGAAATTAATTTCTACCAGTTGTTATAAATTTATTGAGGGAGGGAGGAGAAATCCTACTTACACATAAAATTACTTCTAAGGTGTAAATTATTGAGTTTACAAGAGTTTCACAAAAACTTTCTCAGCTGCAGCCAAGGAAGTACACCAGTTATGTCCTCATCAGGAAAAATACAGAGAATATTGCTTTGCCAGTAGAGAAATATTGGGATTATTTGCATCATGCACAGATATGATTCCCATGACTCACCAAAGATCAAAAGTTATGTACTAGAACACGGAAACTCTGACAGGCTGAAAAGATAACTGGAGGTGTGGAATGGTTGCAGTACAAGAAATAACCAAGTAAGTTCACTTTCAGTACAGAAAGCAGACAAAAGGAAGTGGTATATAAAAGAGGCTTCTGAAATCACAAAGAGCATGGAGAAAACAGAATGGATAGTGATCGCTATTCATGACAAGAACTTGGAGGTACTGAAGAACCCAAGTCAAAACCAAAGGAGCAGACTTCTTCACGAAAGGCATAACTGAGCAGTGGACCACCTTACCAGGGGATATTTTGAGTGCCAAACATTTATACATGCTCAGGAGAGGTCTAAGCAAAACAGAAATATTTTATTCTTTTCTAGCATGGTTCTTACTCAGGACTTGGTGCATACTGCTTCTCTAACACTAATCTTGTACAAGGATTTTTTTACGATTCTTAAATCCTATCATTATAGAGGCTAGAAATGTACAAAGAAATTTGTGTTGTAGCCAGGAGGGAAAAAATAAACTTCTTAACATGGATAATCAGAAATATAAGAACACCCAGCCAGACTAACTCAGTGAATGAGTAACAACTTGCAACAGCAGAATTGTAGTCTGCCATTTCAAATCTTAGGAATGCAATCAGTTGACAGAGCTGAGGAAAGTAAACAAAACTTCTGCCTGGAAAATGGAGATTTTTAACCAGCAGGAAAACTCCAGCTTAGTTGAAGACAGCTGGAGACAGTACTGAAGGAAAGCACTTATGTCCTAGTTCAGAGAGGTCCTGCTGTGTTTGAAAAGGAAGAGACAAACAGCAAGGTTAAAACTGAGTGGACATGTACAAATGTCACTGCCCTTGTGGGGAGCAAGATATATATAGATGTAGCAGATATAGAGAGTCTGTTAATATTGTGTAATTTTAGGACTACAAATGAACACTAGATACTTGAGAAATCTCAAGGCCCTACAGGAGTGGGGGTGATAAACTGTATTTAGAGATTCCTCCACTGCTGTCCATTTAAAAATAATGGAATGCAGAGGTCAAGAACATGCTTTGCCTTGTTTGCCTTTATCCAGTAGCACTAAAAATATTCAGCATTGGCCAGACATCCATGTTAAAATATCCAGCAGACACTAAAGACACTCTCATCAGCATTTTATGTAGATGATCTGCAGGAATAGTGTATAACCTATGGGAGAAGGAGAGGTATAATACTACTACTTTTTTTCTATGGATTTTCTAAAATCAGAGGGAAAATCCATCAATTTGTAAACAATAGAAGAAATGTTATTTTTTAATTAAATATTTGCAGCTTATGTTGTAAAAGTCCTTAATAGTCATTTAAGTTTTATAAATCTGGAGTTTGATCATACATTTGTCTCTTAAATATGTTAGTCTACTGTAAGGCATCAAAGCAAATGTATGTTTTGGCCATATATAGCAGACAAAAACTATACTGCAACAGGAAGCATTATGCAGGTAAGCCTCTGACATTTTATGTCTAAAGAGACAGAAAAATTACAATTGAAAGAAGGAACTAAGTAATTTAACAGCACTAATAACAAGTCTTGATAGTTATTGCCAAAGATTACCTGAAAAAAAAAAAATGGAAGTGAGCCAGGCTTGTAAATACATACATTTCACAAGAATGCTTAAAAAAACAGTATTTTCTCCTGGGATAACATATCTAGTTTTATATATATATATATATATATATATATATATATCTATCTAGATAAAGGCATAAAATAAATGCTTTTGGTATATGATTTGCACGAATGTTGCAAACACTGTTCCTATGAACTGCACTTCTGGTGGTAATAGCAATGGAGAAACTTCTGGGGAGAGAAAAGAAAGAGCTGACAGCTTCATGTAGAAAAGGTGAATGATGAAACATTTTTTAGCCCTGATATGGTACTATGGAACAGAAAAGGGGAGGTCCTTCATCCTCTGAAGGAGATAAAACAGTCTGTGTTTATACTAAGAAACTTTACTGAAAGACAGTTTGATCTCTTGCTTCTTTATCATTAAGCAGAAGGTGGGGAGTAAATAATGCTGTTCTGTGGCTCACCTACAAATATACCTGAAAAGATCTGACCTTTTGTGGTTTCTAACCTAAAAGGGGAGCCTGGAGCAGAATCAACACTTAACATCTCTATTTCCTTATTTAATTAAAAAACCCCAATGCCCAAACAAACAAAAAAACCCCAAACCACAACAAAAACCAACAACCAAAAGTCCCCCCCAAATAACACACACCCACCCCAAAAAAAGTCAACAATACAAACCTCCCAAACTCAAGCATTTGGTTCACGGTACAACGAAATTCTTAATTCTGTTTATTGCTTGGGATTGTCTTTTAGTTATTAAAAAAAAACTACTCATGTCCGTCCCCCACACCCCATCCTATATTTTTAGTTTTGAATCTCCTAAAGTAATCTTCAGCACCATCCAGTCTATATCTACCAAGATCCCACTGATCTCTTTCCTCATGCAGTGCTTCCCAGGCTCCCTCCTGTCCAAGTCAAAGAGTGACAATTGCAGTCTTTGTTAAAAATCTCATGACTTAAAAATTGCCTGATTTATTTCAAGCTTATTCTTCCGAAAATTCTTCCTTGAGCAAGAATTGGCTTTAAAGCACTACATGTGGAAAAAAGGCTTTTCATGAAGTTAGAAGGGAGGGGTGAAATAACACTTTTAATGGAAACTATTAGAAATGCTTAGCTGCAGGATCTCTATAGCAGACACATATATGTACAGCTGCTGAGGTAGATACACACTATTAATTTACATGCAGGGTGTAAATCTTTGTAAATGAGAGTATTACAGAATTTTTCAATGCAAAGGGTATGGTTTTAAATGTCTCCGTAGGTGACAGACAAGCTGTGACAGTACGGCTCCAAGTGTATATGTTTCAATTTACCTGTGACTGCTCTGCCCTCCTCATATCTCAAAACTTGCTTCTGTTAAACTTCGGTTAAAATGGCCAGAGAAATGTCCTTTTCCGTATAAGAATGCATATCATTGGCTATATAATGGTGACTGGAAGGATGCTGGAGGTCGGGTTTTATTGGACAAGTGAGTGGAGGTTTTGAGTGGGTGGGGGGGAGCAGGGGAAGCTGGAGAAGCTGTACCACTATCTGTTGGGGCATGCAGTAGTTAGAGCCAAGACTGGATAATGACAACGTTGGGATGATGTACAGCAGTAAGCGGTGTCCATCAATAAATAAAGTAGGAAGTTTTCAGCAGTGGTCTGACAGGAAAGTCTCCACGGAGTCAGATTTCAGAGCTGGAGCACTGAATTGCAGTGAGTCACACAGAGAGCCTGAGAGCTGCCTTTGTTCCACTTGTGTCTGAACGTTGGAGGAGAAACAGCAGGCTCCAGTTTTTATTAACTTCTTATTTTCATAAGCATAAAACTCATGTGCGCTGAACTTTTTCCTCACTTGAGGTCTTTCAACTGACTTTCAAAAAATGCTCTCATGGTAAGAACTCTCACTTCTAAATTTTACTTTTTCTTCTTTTCCCCTTATGCTTCTGTATTACACTTTTTGGTCTCATTCTTTCCCACTCACCCTCTTTCTTTTTTTTATTTTTGGCACACCTGCTCCAGGCATGCCTGGTGGACCTGGGACTTGCTGCTGCTGCTCTTTGGCTTGTCAATCCATGCTGGTTCAGCAGCTCAGATCATAGAAGGTAAGACTCCTCCAAATCACATCTATAAATTGAGAGTGAGGGTTAATATTAAGATATGCTTTCCTAATATGGAAAGAGAATCTACATTAGCAGTTCCTATGTTTAATGTACTTACTCTTCATTTCGTATAGGGAAGCTGCTGCAAGTTAAATTGCCATTCATTCTGGAAAAGGGAAAATAAATAATTTGGTTCCCCAGCTGTAAGGATAATGCTGCTCTCTCAATATTTATTCAGAGTGTAATAATGAACAGAAAGTACTGCAAAGAAATGGAGAATACCGGATGGGGTTTTGTGTATCACGTCAGAGAAAGGTGGCAGAGAGCAATTAGGGTGGATGTATGTGTCATTCTGGAGATTTTAGGAATGTGCCAGGCATGGTGTGAGTGCAAAGACACATATTGATGCTTGTTCCAGTGCTTAGAGATTTCTCCCAGTAAGTGTCTGAGCAAATTGTGATTTTCAGATCTCCTGAGTTAAATGTTTAGTTTTACCAGCCTAGCCTTTATGGACTTTCAGTGAAAAGCCTTTCTGTAATTGAAGATCATATATTCTTGTAACAGAGCCAAATTCTTCAGCATCTCTGGAAGACATAGACTCAAATTTAACTTCAGAGACAGAACACTGATTTAAAAGTTTACATGTAATTTTGAGAAAAGTGAACAAGCCTCGTATAGTAGTTTTCCTCTGAGCAATGATACTTATGTCAAAAAGACATTTTTACTATCCTATTAAAAATAGTCTGAATTTGTTAGGTAAATGACCCCTAGACAACTGTGTGAAAGGAGTATTAGAAATTAATGAAGGGAAGAAGATATTGCACATGAAGACTTTAATATTACTCAGGCTGGTGTTTGCCTATTTAACTGACGCTGCCATAGAATAGACTGCGCATCTAGGAGTCATAGGTAGTTATTTCAGTAGGATAAAAAGCCACCAATTAGTTATCACTAACAAATGCTGTAAGTGCAGGCAAGAAATATGTATGCTGTATTATAGATAATTAATTAAGGAAGCAAAGTGGATGCATCAATTAGAATAAGGAAAATGTTAATGTATGTATGAATAGTGACAGAAATACAATATACTGCATATACATTGGAGATAAATCTGTTGCATCAGGTAAAAATGTTTTTCTTGAACTGATGAATGACAGTGCAGTGAGTGAAAACTGGACAGGAGAAACCAAACTTTGACACATAAAAGTTAATAAGCAGAAGCTCATAAAAACTACAAGCACAGTAATAAAAAGAACAAATATTTATTTGACACACAATGTCTTTCTTGGTGGATCTATGCCCATTTCTATTACCTGAAACTTTGGTTCTTTAAATATCCCACGCTGTGAAACTCAGAAATGGGAAAGATAACCCCCTACTGATACAGGACAGATTCTTCCTGTGCAGAATCTTATTACTGCTGGAAGGACTCCTAACCTTATCATGAATGAAGATCACATGGGCTTATGCAAGTCTCCTTAGATCACTGAAGACTTCTGGGAATGTGCTCCTGCATGACTGTCCTAGCCTAATATTCTTCCCTAATCATTTGTCTATTAATACAGAAGTTCCTGTTCCCAAATTTTTTTACATCTTATTTTTAAATGCCTGATGTAATAGGGATCTCATGCTTTCTATTCCACAACATCAAACATTTTGCTCATGTTATAAGCAAGATTTTCTTGATGCTTGATTTAAATGTTTTCATCTGCTGAAACCAGTTGTTGAGTGCTATAAATAGAAATTATCTTCCTTTCTTTCTGGTGCTGCAAATACATGAATATAAATTTTCCCTGTAACTTCAAATCTTTTAGTTTTAACTATTGCGCAAATAACCTCTTTTTCCTTTCTCATAGTTCCTCTTCGTAATAGAGTGCACAGAAATAAATTGTGTATTTAAGGTGAAAATGTTTAGAGACACAGGGAGATTAATTGATGCTCTGGTATTCAGGACTTTTGCTGCTGAAGTTATGCTTTATCCAGTGCCCATTTTGTCACTGTCTCCTTTAAGATTACTGCTTTCCAGGATTCTCCAGCCCATTGAATAATGCTACACTGCATTTCTGACAACTGACCAATCCTCCGTCTCCCCATAGTGCATATTTATGCCTCTAAATTCCTTTTTATATAAGAGGAACTGGGAATGAGTAAACGTGGGTTTAGAGGAACAGTGCAGGTGCCTTCTGCTGCACCACCCTACAGGCTATATGCAAAAGGAAGAAAAAAAACCTCAAGATGTTCTTCAGTGGGTTAAATAATGTCGAGAAAATTGCTCATGAATTAAATCATTCACTGTGGAAACCTGCAGACAAAGCAGTGACCCTCAGATAGTTTAGGGAAGAAAAGTTTGTTGTCGTTGCTTTCACCAATCAGACCTCTTCAGTGAGGTCTAGTGAATTTGCTTACTTGCTTGGTATGCAATTAGGCACTTAGAGTCTTCCTGTTTTTTCCCCAGGGAAGCACCAAATTGTGGAGAAGGGTGAAGGATGCAGATAAAAGAAAAGGCCCTCCATGCAGAGGGTTTGAGGTCTCCCATGTCTTTGTGAAAGATATGAGAAAGATCAGTCAGAAAATTTTGATAAGTTTCTTATCAGGAAAAGTGTTTTGACCAAGTCTTGTTCTTGAGGAAATCATACACTTATGGACAGTTCCTACAAAGAAAGAGGAAACAAACTGAAAGGATGGTGAGAAAGTGTAGGGGGAAAATTCAGATGGCAGTCTGAAATAGTTTGAGAGCTTCTGGGACTTAGTTTAACTTTTTAGTGAACTTGTGTGATGTGGGACTTTTGTTTCTGTAGAAGTGTTGCTTTCATTTCCAAGTCCTAGAATGTCTGACTACTGCTTTCATTGTAAAATGGGACAGACAATAGGAGATATTTAAAACCTCACATTTAAAATCATGAGTTCCTAACTCACAGAACCGACTGAAACACCTTCTTGTTCAAAATGACATGTTTAGCTTGTTAAAATTGTTTGATATCTGTTATGTAATTTGTAGATCAAGCTATGTGTTGTGACAGAATGTAAAAAAAAAAAAAAATTCATTCAGAATTTTACAGTTCTGTTGCATGTTCTGCAAATAGATGGAATTCGGTCATTGTTTCACCAAAACTCTTAAGAAATACCAGATCTTGCTTTGGAGTGAAACTGAACAGGAGTTCAGAAATCTCAGCAGTTCCTGTGAGTTAGAATTCTGAATTCTTACTAACTCTGTTGGAAAATTTTAGTTCCTTTCGCTGCAGCTAGCATTGCACATGTACAAAAACATAAGGAATAATACGCCTTCTTCCTCTTTACCCAAATACAGTATCACCTGAACTATGGAGCGCTTTTGCAGTTTTTCTCCTGTGTTCATGAAAATGGTGCAGACATAGTACCCTACTTGGGTTTGTGTGGGAGGGTTAAAGATATGTTGGTGTCTTAATTATTTAATCACTTTTCCTTTGTTCAAATGACAATTAAGCATGTATCTGTCTGTACATAAAAGTGTAGTCTGTCTTATTCTATCTGGTATTGCCTTGTGGTGCATGTGTTTGGCCTTTAATTACACCTGATAATGTGTCTTGATTTACATTGATAACCCTGGCTACTTTTTTCCATGTCCCTTTGCATCTTCATCCACAAATTAAGTTAGTGAACAGAAGGTGCTCAGAACACAGTCCTGAACATGCTGGTACCCAGATTGGGGACAGAACTAAAGTTATAAAATCTGAATGCTAAACCTGCTGAAGTGTGAATCATAAAGTCCTCCTTATGACTTGTTCTAGCCTCTTGCAGAAGTCATATTTATTCTTTCAGGCTACCTACGCAGTTATCAACAGTTCTTGGCATTCAAAGCAGTGCACGCCTTTATATATATAAAAAAATATGTTTAAATATATGTGGTTCTGCAGTTTGAATTATGTTTATATGCTCTAAAAGAAGCTTTACAAATTTGTCATTGACATCTGGGTTTTATTATTAGCCAAGCTGAACAGTGCTTTCTTGCCCTAAGTAACATGCTCAGCAATAGTTTACATAAAGTAAATATTTGTCTCTTTCCTTGGCTCTCTGTACACAGAATAACTGTCATTAAGCTATTGACATAAACTTTGCACTCATGACCTGCTGAGTTTAATGGAGAAATCCTGAGTTACAGACTTTCAGTGGATGTTGATCAGCTGGTGTGATTCATACAAGCATCTAGCTTACACTTCTCTTCACAATGAACCAACATAATGAGTGTAAATAAAAATGTATATTTAAAAGATTGTTTCTATCAAGTAATTACTGTATGTGCCTTGAGTGTTAAAGATGTGAAATCACATTGACTTATGCGGTGATAGAGGTGGCTCAGTCTATTCCTAAGACAGAACACAATTACAGTAATGATGCTCTGTATGGAGAACAGGTTTTTTTAAAGATAACTTAGATGGCGCTGTATCCTCTTGTACCAGACTGAGCATTTGGATATCATCAAACTCTACTTGAGTCTAAATTGAACAAGTGACTGTGTATCTTCCAGAGGAGTCTTTAGGCTGTTACCAGCTGTTGTGCATGTTTTTAATGTGGAGCTGAGCCTAATTTCATAGTTGATAAAATGCCTTTCCATGCAAAACATAGTTAATTTACTATAGAAAATCAGTTGAGTTCAGCCAAGGTCATCTGTATAAGTAACTGAAGAGATAGATATCAGCAGTTGAACAAACCTGATTTAGTAAATTTGTTCCATTTTGTCACTTTTCTGAATGGATTCTTTCTCTGTGTAATGTCCATTACATGCTAATTCTCTTGGACAGTAAACTACATGTTTGCTAAGCTACTCTACCAGGCAATAGAAGATTTTGTTTGGCCTTTTTTTGAGGCCTCAGAAGGGGAAACCAGCTGGGGTGGATATAGCATTATAATGTCTGTCTTCATTTCCTCTCTGAAGTCACACTAGGTAACCAGTTGCTTCCATGGTCTGAATAGAACTTAATTGTGCTTGCATTTGCTACTAAATGGTGTTTGAAGGACCTGCTCTG